ACGACTAAACATGGATTTGGTTAAACTATAACGACTGAAACACGTGAAGTCACTGGAATGATGTTTTTATTTCCTTCTCTTGTGCGGGGAACCATCCCCAAATGGCCAAAACTTTGAGGTGAGCAAACTATTTGTATTTTATCCAGATGGATGGTCTACTTCAAACCAGTGATAGATGCTGGTGGTATACTTGCCCAAATACTCGATGATCTCCAACATCTATGAAGAATGCACAATGAATGGTGTATGCACCCGCATTTCTGCCGCAAACTAGGGGATAACTGTTGGAAATATATGGAGGAGATGGGCAAACTGGAACTAGGTGTGGGAGGGAGCAAATAAATCATCAATGACATGCCCCCAGAAGGGACTATCAATGAATAGCCAGCACATGATCATGAAAGAATCGCTACGAAAATCCCAAGAAACCAAGGATTTAGAGAAGATGCCCATGGGCATGCCAGTGACGGCACTGCCCTCAATCGAGGAAGCACATGGCGAAACTGGGGAGTTTAAAGCCAACAATGGATATTAACATCAATCACCGACTATACATATAATATGAGCTAAAATAGTATAACACATATGATGTAATGTAATGTAATGTAATGTAATGCAATGTAATGTAATGTAATGCAATGTATTGTTATACTATATTATATGATATTACGTTATATTATGTGATATTAAATTATATTATATTACATTATATTATGTTATATTAAATTATGTTATATTATATTATATTATATTATGTTATATTAAATTATGTTATATTATATTCTATTACATTATATTATGTTATATTAAGTTATATTATATTACATTATATTATGTTATATTATATTATATTACATTATATTATGTTATATTAAGTTATATTATATTACACTATATTATGTTATATTATATTATATTATATTATATGTTATATTATATGTTATATTATATGTTATATTATATACTATACACACTATACTACACTATACTATACTATACTATACAATACTATACAATACAATACAATACAATACAATACAATACAATACATTACATACAAACACTATTATATGTATATAATTGATATGTATATACAGTCGAAACAACGAAAGGATGGCTTCAAGAAATTCTGTTCTTCCTTAGTTGAGATGATGAAACCAGCAACCTGACAGTTCCCCTTAGTTGGTTTCCAGGGTCAGCGAACTGTAAAAAGCGGTGAGGTGGGCGAATTGGCTGACTTCCTGTGCCATGCTTGCATGCCCCAGGTGGGGGGAAATTCTGCTGGCCGTGGAGGGGAAATTCGACCAGTGGTCACGATATGTCACGATTACGTCAGGCGTCTGATCACATCTTCGACTGGTCGCTTGAGTGGTGTCCTGAGGGCTGGCGTTTTTTGTTGCAGCGAAGATTGTTATCTTTCCTCGATCCACTGTCCATTATTAAAAAATATGGAACAGACGGTCAAATAATGGCTCCAACTATGCCACACCATCTATTTCTGTGGTATTTTTTGTGGAAAAAAAAAACATAGTTTTGCTTGATCTTTGAAATTTTGGGGGCCAAACCCAAAAGTACAGGTCATCTCCTTGACCTGAGGCAGTGGAGAGCACACCGCATGAAGGCCACACAGGTGCATCGAAAATGACCAACCAATTGGTGGCTGTGAAAAATTGGAGATCCAATTGGCTGAAAAAAGGAGATCTCAGTGTGTAGCTTAGCTCCAAGTATCTGTAGAATTCTGATCTGATAGATTGGTGAAAGTGGCCAGAAAAATACCACTGCGCAGGCCCCAGAGACAGAGGTTCAGGAGTGATGACTGGAAGGGCGACGCCTCACTTGGGCAGTTTCAGTGTGACAAACAGAACTGGATGATGGAAACATCATGGCATACTTCATTGAACTCTTCAAGATGAATTCAACATCATTCAACATCCACTTTTGGTGAATCCTCAGGTTTGTTTTAGGGCTTTTCTCGCAGTATGGGGATGAAAGCAACCAGTTTTTCGGGAATGAGGGATTGTTGTCACCTTGTTATACAGCACTGCAGGAGGACCTTAAATTTCAAGCCTTCCAGCTGCCCCAGCCTCTTAGGAGAAGAATTCTCATTTGGACCTGGTGGTGTAGGACTCAGGATGAGCAGTTAGAGGTTTTATTGCGAATGCTCATGTCTGACTGCGGTGAAACTGCAGTTTGGGAGAATGCTACTAAGTATCTACTACGTATCTACTAAGTATCTACTAAAATCCAAAAAGTCTCTAAACGTATCTAGTATGAGTATCTACCAAGTATCTAAAAGTATCTAGTATGACATACCAAGTATCCTGGATTTTTCATGTTGTTTTAGGACACTATTAAGAGACCATCACCGAGGAAGGGCCCTCCGGCCCCTTGCTGCTTCATCGAGTACCCAGCGCCCCTCCCAGGCGCGCAATTAATTGAGGGCGTCGTGGATTTTCCAGGTCCTGCAGGTCCTCCAGGTCCTGAACAAATTCTGGGAGGCCAATTCTGTGTGCAGATGATCCGGAGGCCACCCTCCTCAAGGCTCCTTGGTGAGAAAAAACCTCCCGGATCTGGTGAGAAAAACTGGTGGATCGCCTGGGCCATCCAAGTTGGACTGGGCCGAACTGAGGCCGTCCAGTTGCTGTTTGGAGCCCAGTGAAGATCGGCCACCCCGCACCATGACAGCACCAGATTTGGATCCGACAGGTTGGCCTACCCCAAATGCAATGCGCTGCCTGTGGCATGGTTCCCCAGATACCGCCAACCTCACCATTTTCGGCAATGACACATCCGGCAGACCTCCCTGATGTTAGGAATGGTCTTGTTGGAAACATCTGCGGTTTTGTTGGACAAATCCAGCAGTAGACAGTGAACATCATTAAACATCTTAGCCATGATTCATGTTGCCCATGTTAATCATTGTTTATCCATGGGAACATCTAAAGAAACCAATCATGGATTTTTCCATGAAATCTGGTGTTTTCCATTGTTTTCCCATGAAATTGATCATTTTTCCAGGGAAAAAATCCCAGGGATTTTCATCCATGTTTCAGAAAGTGACCCTTGCCATCCTCGAATGGAGATCGAGGTGAGCCCTGTTCGTTTGACGGTCATGGCCTATCTCACTCTCTCTGCCTGTGAGGGACTCAACTGCCGAAGCCGAAAAATCTGCTTCGAACATAGTCAGACTACCCGGAAAAAAATCCGAGGGATTCTAATCATCCCAAGAATTTTGGTATACAAGAATTGCACTTCCATCTAATTCCAGCATTTTTGGCCTTGAGATTGGTTGATTTCACAGTCGAACAGCTCATGGTTTCAGGTCTGGCCTTCATCCTAAATCGTTTGAGAGGCCAAGAACTGAGTTTCTGCGGAACTCAGATATACCACCAGCATTCTTCCGGGGAAGCTGATGAACCATGGGATCCTTGGGGTTAAACGCAGGCGAGCAGTTGTTGCCACTTGCACAGATCAAAGTGGGCGAAGAGGCTGAGGGTGGCTGTGGACATGGCTGGGTTTTGAAGGTCTTGGCTGTGGTTTTCCCACACCGATGGCTGATTTAAAATAGATCCTCAACTATGGGAGTGAACTGAGTGAACACATTAAATCTCCATGCAGCAAGGCCGAAGTTCTTCAGTTTTCTTTCACGCTAGTGTTGTGAAACCCCGTCGTTGCCCCTGAAGGTGCAGGTGGGAACTTGTTGGGGCGCCCAAGAATTTTAGGCGGAACCAGCGGTTTCGCAATGGCTCAAATGGTTCCTGCGTCATGGGCCAATCTATTTGGGTCATATTTAGACATATGTAATTATGCTTGATTATACAATCATATTCTGTATATATATATATAAATAAATATATATATATATTATATAATATAATATATATATATAATATATATATATAATATATATAATATATATATAATATATATATATAATATAATATATATATATAATATATACACATAATAATTAATTGGTAATTCTAAGTCTCATGATTGACCATTAGACTCTCCTTACATCGGGTGATTGACCAAAACAGAAAATGACCATCGGCCTCCTGTCATGAGGTGCAGACCAGCAGCAGAAGTTCGAATTTGCCAAATATGCGGAGCTGTTCAGGGCTTAGCAACGGCTGCGGTTGCTTGTAGCAAATGGGTATGGGTCAATACCTATAGATACCATTTTTAGTGGGATGAACATCCATAAATCCCAGCTATTTTGGGGTTCACTAGGTACCAGGGTTTTGACCCATCCCCAAATCATGGGGAAAACCCTATGGTTTTTCTGATGAAATCTGGGCAAAAATCCCTGCCAATGGGCAGCGCTTGCAGGGCGGCGGCACAAGCAGAGGCGGGATCTACCATAGGATTGCCATGGTTTGTTTCGGCGCGGCTGGCTCTGCCAGGGAAACAGCCCTCCTTGGGTCTTGAGTTTCGGAGCCCAGATCAACGACAGGTCGTCTTCCAGTCTGTTCCCACGCAACATTCATCTGAAATCTCATGAAAAACCATGACATGAATGACATGAACAAGATGTTTTTCTGCGTGGGAGAGTCCCATCCTTGTTTGTTAAACAGGCCAGTTGAGTGGCCAGTAACTCCGTGTTCCAAATGCAGAAAGCTCAGAGGTCGACAAGCCACAGCTTCAGCTAAGGCGAAAGCCAACCGTTGCGAGAGCTGCTGCACTTTTTCGCCAAGACGCATCACAGCACCATCCCAGTAGTGGAGGCCAACTGGGAATACTGTAGCTTCAAAATTCGACCCAGCAAAACCACAGATTTTGGCGCATTGGTCCATCTCTCTCTCTCTATATATATATACATATATACATAGAGAGAGAGAGAGTGAGAGAGTATATGTATATATATATATATTTCATAGTATGCACATATATATATAATTATATCATAGTATATATATATATATGTTATATTATATATATTATACACACATGCATATCCCTACATGTTTCCTATTAGGACAGCATCCCATTTTGGGGTACTGCGTACTTTGATCCCTCACGGGTCATCGACTACCGCCATGGCTCTGCAGGATTCTAAGGGCAGCTTGGTCTACAATCTGAGCAGAAGGTGCAGTTTGATGATCTTTTGGGTATAAGATGATTATTGAGTGATCATCTTTTCTAGATCATACCATATAGCAAGAATTTGAGAAACCAATACTTGGGCTATTTATGTTTTGATGATCTTTGATGATCTAGAAAAGTGGGTGACACTGCAAAGATTTGAGGGTTCCAAGCAAGGGTCGTAGGAGTTGACGACTTGAATCTGTTCAGTTTGACCCAGTGACCCAGTGACCCCTTGGGATATCTTGGGATATCTTGGGAATGGAAAATGCTCCGACTCAGGGACTTGCTGTCCTACCTTGATTTGGCCATGCAGTCAGCCAGGTGGGGCCCTAAATCTCCAACCCTTGGGGGCAGGTGTTCATATCCCATGTTCGCAAATGTCCCCACAATATACCTGGCATAGCTTTTTGGTTTGAAGCGACTGTTGTTTCTCATAGGGGCTTAACATGACTTCAACATACTTCACCATTGTCCTCTTTTTCCCTTTACAGCATTCTGACACGTTAACCACTTGCAAAAAGGCCGGCAACTGATTCAACTGTAGGCATTGTGTTCATCGTTTCTGCAAATGGCAAAATCCACGCACAGGTGATTTCGGACGATATTCCCCAACATGATATTCATGGGCCATAACCCCTGGACGGACATTGAGAAAAATGATGATTTGAGGTTGGACTTAAACCCATTTTGGACGGTTTCAGCCGCATTCGTTGCAGGTGTCATTCGCAAGATCATGAGGAACGCATTGTCTTCGATCCTTCGGCACCTATTGAGGTGGGACCACATTTTTGCTGAGTTTTTGGGCAAAGAAAGGCAGGAACTTGCCAGGTTTGGATGGTTGTTTATAGTGATTCCTCGGTGAGGTCGATGAATTTCCTGATTTTCCGTCCGGGGATTGGCATATCTTGGCGTCAACTTGATTTTCAGTTTGAGGTTGTTGTGAAGGCGCTGAACAGATACAAAGTGGATGACAGAAGCTTGGCCAACACCTTCAGAGGTGTCAGAGAATGACATGGCGGTTTCCGTTTTGTCATGGAGGTAGCCCCAGTTTTCATCCAAGTCAGACCATTGAAACATGTTGAAACCCAGTTTCAGTGACCTTGGGGATGCCCATTTTATAAAAAAACCCGAGATGTTAGTTGTTTTCAAGACATAGAGATAAACAGGGATCCTCCGGTAGTCAAACATTGCAATTGGACATCCCCTATAAATAGAAACATAGTTGAAAGAAAATATCTATGAAGATCTATGAAGAAAATATATTCAAGAGATTTCAAGAGCCATGTTTGATTCCCGGAGGGTATCTGTTTAAGTTCAAGATTTGCTGGTACCCACTCTTCTTTGGAGGGCCTATTGAGACATGATTTCAACAGCGTCAAGTTCAGCATTGCTTGTAGATGAAGGTGCGTTCATTTCTACATAAAATATAACATGTATAATATATAGCTAATATATCTATATATAATATGATCCATCCCATCCTACACAGCCAATCGACACATTCGATGACACAAAATTCAGAAAGATGGACAAACACAGCAAACCAGCAACCAGTTTTTTTCAAAAAAAAAGTGGTGAATATGGTGAATGACCTGTTTAATTCCCAAGATTTCAATCCATGGTGGATTTGTTTCCAGCGTCAGCGTCACCAGCGTCTTCCGAGGTCGATTAAGAGCGGTTGAGGTGGCCACATCGATGCTCCAGGCATGACGTGCCCGTCTATCACTTGCGGAAGTTCACGTTTTTTTTTCCCCGGGAAATTTTAGGCACATTTTTCTAAGAAACTCCTGAAGATATACCACTGTAGATGGGGGAAAACAGACATTTTTCCAACAAAGATCTCACTGATAAAAGTGGCCTCGCGGCCTCAGCATTTCCGATGCGGATGAAATCCAGGTGTAACTGGCTGACCTGGCTCCAGGAACAGTCCCTTCTGGATGGTCTTCTGGCTGAAGCACCACGAGACCCAAAGGGCCAGGCAAGTCCCTTCGGGGGGAAGCTGGCTGCTGGGTTGGGAGATGCTGGGAGATGCTGGGAGATGCTGGGAGATGCTGGGAGATGTTGGGATGTGCCTAGAAGTGATAGACTCTGATAGACCCTAACCCCCGGTACTTGGTGAACCTCTGTTTTTTTCGTTCTGACGGATTCTGAATCTGACTTCTGGTGGATCTGTTCTGCACCGTTGCACCGTTGCACCGTGATCAGACGGACATGCCTGGGGCCACCATATTGTATGACAAGGACTGCATGTGAAGGGTAGTGAGAAAAGTAAGAAAGTATCAGTATATGTACAGCATATGTATCATCATGACTTGAAACCTTCAGCATTCTTCAGCAGCCCCGCTGCTTTCATACAAGAACTACGTAACTCTAATGTATTTTAATGTGGTCAATCTAATCACAAACGTATTTTTTGGGGGTACAGATTTTCAGTGTTTTTTTCTTTCCGCCCAAAATGAAGCAAATTTCGGTCCTCCAATGGGCCTTGCCTCCCCAGGACATGAGTATGAAAGACTTGATCCTCTGCCTTTTAGAAGCGGACAATCGGAAAGTCTTTCTGGTTCAGGACTGGCTGAATTGCGATGGATATATCAGCTATATGTTTGAATTTTGCTGGATATTATGTACTCCATTTCTCTTTGTATTTTTAACAATATATGTGTATACATACGTGTATATATATATATGTTTGAGTTGTATACTATATATGGAGGTTTCCTGAAATCTGGGTACCCCTAAATCATCCATTTTATATCATTTTATAGGATTTTCCATTACTAACCATCCATTTTAAGGTCTCCCCATTTAAGGAAACCTCCATATCTATATAGTACATATATTGGTGGATAGGGCAGTTACGTGAAGGTCGTAAGTCAGCACATGAGACCACAGGACATTTCATGGCAGTCTATGATCACTGGGGATGGGTTCAAACCTACAATAACTAAGATATTTTGTGAATGACCATGCAACCATCTGTTTGAGTTATACATATATATATAATAATAATGATAATAATAATAATAATATATATATATATATATCCAATGAATTCCAATGATCATATCAACATGAAGAAATTTATTGGATGATTTTTGTATAGATCTATGATATTTCCCATCATTTATGGCGATAAATCCCATGTTTGTCATCAATCTTCCATCATTTCCCATCAGCCAACGATCGAAGGACTGTGGCGACAAGATGCCCAAACTCCGGCAACTTGGGTTGAGATCCCATACGAATTTCCCATGTGGGATCCCAAAAAAATTCACAGATCCTGACAGAATCATTGACATATTAATCACATGGGATCATTAGTCACTGACATATCATTGACAGATGTTAATCACTATTTTGATCACTATAGTTGATGTTTTTTTTTTTAACACTATCAACATACGTATACCGTATATTAATCTATATTCCTGACAGAATCATTGAAAACATGACATGCAAATGCAAGCTAGCAAGAACATCCGATATGACGACTGGGGCTCACAATGGATAGGTTAGAGCTCTTGGGATGACCAATCGTGGCTTTGTTCGAAACGCCCATTCGCAAACCAATGGGTATCATTGAACTTTGGGAGATCTTGGGATAAAGCACCCTCAAAATCGATTGGTTTCCAGCTCCTTCAACTGGCATGATGGGGGCCGTTCAATTTTTCGGGAGACCCCGGCCTGTCCAACTGTTTGGGATGAACTTAAGCCACCAACCGAGTTGATGTTTTTGAATCCCTCAAATCTGATTCTTTACAACTTATTTATGCCAGTTGGCAATCAACCGTGGCCAGGGAAATCCCCTATAAATCATGATAAATCGAGGTTTAGTGCGCTCGGAAGATCACACACACACACATGTATATATAATTAAAATATACATGCATATATTATATATAATATACATGTATATATATAATATACATGTGTATATATATGTACACATACATATAGATAGGCCATAAGTCATAAGCCAATTGCAGCCATTTGGAGGTGACCATCCCTCCCGGTCCAGGCAAATCATTTCCGCGGGTGATATCTGGCGTATGCTCATCGGCCCAGAGAAAGACGAATCGGCGAAGGCCAACGACTCCATCTCGGTGTAGATCGTCCCCAAAAAGGCCGCCCGGAGATGTTCCGGAGGCTTCCGGAGGATTCGATGAAGAAAAATCTTGAGAAACCGGGATATAAATGGGACATCTGGGTTTTAATGGGATGTGAATATATATATATATACATATATATATATGCAACGGAGATATGGGTTTCTCCGGAACTGAGTTGATTAGTTCATTATACCACTTGTACCCCAATATGGCAGTTCTAGTGGGGAACAAATAATGGTAAAGCGATCTTGGTGATTCAAAATGATTTACCCTCAACATGTTGCAGTACTAAGCATGACCGACAATGTGGGTACGTTGGTCGAGAAATTTTGAGCCATGGCCAATTGATGTGAAACGCCGTTAAAATGCCTTTGTTTGACAGTGACTTTAGATTGATACCCTCTGGTTATGTCAAAATAGCTATTGAACATGGCCATTTATAGTGGATTTTCCCATTAAAAATGGTGATTTTCAATAGCTATGTTAAATTACCAGAGGGTAGATTGATACCAGGTTTTTCCCGTGGCCATGTGTGACGGCAAGTTCTGATCGAAAATTTAACCGCTTCCATGCAGGTTCTCAGACTTGTGGGGTTTCATGAGCGCGACGTGATCTGTTGAACTGTGGAAAAAGTCAGTTTGCAATTTGGGGTGTGGTGAGTCATGGGTGGATCTTGCAAGGAGAATTACGTTATTTGGATGAAGCGCCTGAAAAAAAAACGTACAGGCTTTGGAGACCTAGCCGATGTGATCCGATGTGCCTCTCATGAAATTGAGGCTCTCAGCAAAGGTCGAACATATTTTCGGACACCATCAAATCATCAAATACAGCAGAAATACTTCACAGTAACTAACATCAGATCATTTTTTGAGGCTTTTTTGGGGTCCAAAAAAACCTCAAAAAGCCATGGCTGCACTGCTGGTTTCCGATGGCAGCGATGAACTCTTTGCCAAGTGGCCAAAGATCAGGGCGATTTTGGACCGTGGTGGAGCCCCAAAATCATCATGTTTGTCCATGGTTTGGAACATCATGTTTCACATTTTTAGTGACCAAACATGTGGTATTTTGATGTGATTTTTGACAAACAATTGAGAGGCATCGATTTTTGCATAGCAGTTGGATGACCTTTGTTTCCAGCTTGGCAGGTACTTTGCTGAAATTACTCTGGATGTGATAGAGGCAGGTCCTAAGTCCCGAATCAGTCAAAATCTCACCATCAAATCATCAATGGATCATGGCTATCTATGGCAATGTTAGATAGCCAGAGGGTATCAATCCACTTTTCTTGATAGCCAGAGCCATGCAAACACTGGATGAAATTGGATGTTCTTCAAAATGATTGATCTACAAGACATTGGCTGAAAACATCCCAAGCAGATCGTCAACCTGTGGGGTCCCCTGGGTTCCAGGAGCAGACCTTTCTGAAGAGAGCCATGGAAGAACCGGGGTCCAGGGCTTATCTGTTCCAGGGCCTTGTGCAGGGTGAGATGAAAAGAACATCATCTCAGACATCCTGAACAATCATTCTTGGGCAACTTGCGCCTGGGATCTAGGAGTTTTATTTTCATTTTTAATAGTTGCCATGATGTATATATTACACATATATAATATACTATATATATATACACATTATATATGTATGTGTTGTCTGATGTCAACATCTGACATCATCGCTCGGAAACCGCCAGGCCTCGATATGTTCATTTACGACGCAGCTCTATTGGCACCGTGACGATTCCTCCTCACATCCAGGTCATGGCTGACTCAGTGGTCTCAATGTCCAAAAAAAACTGTTTTTGAATGGAAAAATCATGAAAAATCACAGCTCCCAAATTTTGCCCCAACATTTGGCTGGTTTTCATTGATTTTCATTGATTTTCAAAGCTGTTTCCTATTTTCAACGCCGATCAACGCCAGGAGAATAGCTCTGGGGAGTTCAACAAACAGGTCTGGCAGATGCTGATGAGCTAAAAAAAAACCTGGGCTGTTTAATTGTCTTCTTAACCCAACCAGGGTTAATATTCATCCAGGGTTTACATGATTCTAATGAATTCATGAAATAACAAACCACAAGGCAGTGGAGAATGGTTTTGATGGGGATGGGTCAAGATGGGTCAAGATGGGTCAAGTTATTAATGGAATTCTCATATTTGGGGAAATCAACATCCTATACCATTAATAACTTGACCCATCCTATAACATTAATAACCATTAATAGCTGTTAAAATCAACATCCATTGATAACTTGACCATTAATCAACAATATGCTTGGTACCATCAACATCCTATACCAGGGGTTACCAGCTATTTTAGGGTACCATCTGGGTAGGGTTTTGAACTACCGATGTGGATCACGAGGTGTGGACGGGACATCCCAAAGTCGATCGGACCCTGCTGGATGCCCAAGAAACACATGGCCCAAGTTTGCCAAGTTCAGCAGAGCATTTGGGAAATGTAGCTTCTTTAGACGTTTCTTGTTGCATTTTTTTCTTGCATTTTAATTGAATTCTGACTGGTGCGTGCTATACGTCGGGAATTTTCGAAAAAATGATCCACAGTATCAATAAATCATAATCCCAGCAACCCCCAGTCCCATCCATTCCCTACGTTCAGCACCAGTAAGTATTCGGTTCTGGTTCCAGTTGATCCAAATGATTCACCCAGGTTCATCATGGACCGACAGGCTGAACACCGACTGCGGTTCGGGGGTCCCAGAGATGCGGCTGTTGGGATGTATGTTGGGGGTATAAGACCTGCATGTTAGAAAGATATAGTGAGATATAGTGAGATATAGTGAGATACATAACATATCATAATTAATATTTGGATATAGTTGGGTTTTGTGAAGACATGGTACAATCCAGACAAAGTCACAGATCTTTCAACATCTTGGCTTTGGGTGTAGAGATCTGGATCCAGATCATGAAATAAATACGAAGATACATGAACTAAGCTGAGTTCTTGGCTCTTTGGCCAACTCTGGCCACTCTAAAAAATAATTTTCATGACTGTTTCATCTAAAGATTCACCACATTTTACAACATCTGACCATCATTTTGCCATAATTTTGATCATTTTGCCAGTGTTTTCCCAGCGCTTTCCGATGGCATTTCCGCCAGAGACGTGAAGAGCGTCGGCTCCCAAAAGAATGCTCCGATGCTTCGTGGCGTCGCATGCTCCAAGAAGGCACCCAACCAGTCGCCAGGTGAAAAAGTGGGCGTGGGAGGCCTATGGTTAGGGGGATCGGCCTATAAACCATTAATAACCATCTGGTTATTTAACATAGCCATGGAAAATCCCTTCCAAATGGAGGTTTTAATGGGAAAATCATCTATAAGTGATATGATGGGAAATTTTTAGCCGGAAAGCCCTATATTTGATGGTAAAAACCCATGGGTTTCCGGTTAAGATTTTCCCTTAAACCAATCCAATGACATTAATAACCATTTATAAAATGCATTGATACTATCATTGAGACCACCCCATTTTTGGGGTGGTAAAGATTAGGGTTTTCTACAGAGGTTCCGTTAAACCATTCCATTGACAACATGGAAACGATTGGAATCACATGATATCAAATAATATATCTGAAAATCATCACAGATCATATCAAATTCACTTTGATGGGCCATAGTGGGCTTTGGTGTACTGACACCTGATGACACATGAATAGCATGGCATGTTCTCCACTCCCCGTGAACCTTGGAGGTTGCCAGCTCCAATAGGAGACCACTTCAGAGCTCTAAGTTGGCGCTCACAAGAGCATTCGGAAGAATTTCTTTGTTTGTATCAAAAGTGCATATTTCCCCACCTGCCAGGTGAGGGTTGTTAGATTTTATCAGAGCTGTTCTCCTCCTCCTCCTCCTCCTCGGCTAGCTGTCCTCCTCCTCCTCCTCGTCCTCCTCCTCCTCCTCCCCCTCTAGACTCTAGTTTCTCCTCGACCATGTCTGCATCAACTTCCACCTCCACTTCCGCCTTGCCAACTCTTCGCCAAGCTCTTTGCCAACTTCCCAGCTCAGTGTGCACTGGGACCTCAACCTGGGACCTGCCCAGCCCAGTGTGCACCGCTGGACCTCAACCTGGGATTTGCCCAGCGCAGTGTGCACCTCTGGACCTGAACCGGGGACCTCCCCAGCTCAGTGTGCACTGCTGGACCTCAACGGGCAGATAGAATGCCAGAAGATATACCAGATAGAATGCCAGAAGATATGCCAGATAGAATGCGAGAAGGTATGCCAAATAGAATGCCAGATAAAATATCAGATAGACTGCCACAAGATATGCCAGATAGAATCCCAGAAGATTTGCCAGATAATATGCCAGAAGATATGCCAGATAGAATGCCAGATAGAATGCCAGAAGATTTGCCAGATAGAATGAAGATATGCCAGAAGATATGCCAGATCCAGATATGCCAGAAGATATGCCAGATAGAATGCCATAGAATGCCAGAAGATATGTCAGATAGAATGCCAGAAGATTTGCCAGTAGAGAAAGATGTATAAATGTCATGGTGGGGATCACACGAAGTAAAGTAATTTTTTAAAATCAAAGCTGACATTTCGTGGCAAGAAACGGTGGTATTTCAGAGCTGCCGGCCAGAACTACGGCTCCCGAATTGGCCCAGAGCCCTTCGGCGATTCCTTCCGTTGCAGCCTCAGATAACTCAACAGTTCCTCTCAAGTCATCAACTGATCATCAACTGATCATCAACTGATCATCCATTGATCTCCGAATTCGCAGATTTTGCAGATGTTGCATATGTGCAATTTGCAGGTGCCAAGTACCTCAATGGAGTGAAGAAGCATCCAGTGGCCACGGTTCGCCATGACTGAAGTTGGATCATGACGATCATGGCAACGTGAAAACGTGAACCCTGTCGGTAGTGATTGAAATGCCAGGCGCCCACATCACTCATGGACACCATCTCAGATTGAGGAGACACCTGGGTGGCTACGATTTTTTGGATTCCTTTGAGGGATTCCTTCCCACCACATGGC